AAACTCGGCCTGCATGTTGAGTATGAGGGCAAAACATCTGTCTTTAGTGACCCCACTGCGTGGGTGGAGGAGGTGGAGAATGAGGAAGATGGCACTGTGCGGCTTTCACTCAACACACAGGTGTGTCTTTTTGGTGACTTTTCCGTTTCGCTGCTGCGTTACGAACCCCTGCCACCGCCCCTACAAGGGCATGGAGAGCCACCGAGGAGAGTACGCTTGCTTGCCCGCTGTGCGTTCAGTACGGTGTTTCTCCACCAGGAGACTCATCACATTCGTGCCCGAGATATGGATTATGCCACACAAAATAACCTCCCAAGCGATTCCTTCATGTTGCTACACTTTGAAAAAATGGATCCTCTATCAGGGGATGATGCGTATATTGGACAAATAACGCAACGCGTTGAACAGTCCCCACGACGCCAGATGTTTCTTCTTGGGCCTGGCCCACTTGCCTCACCAGACCGCTTTCATGATTATTCTGGTAGTTATTATGACGATGAGTACTCTACGGGTGGTGTATACTACCGGGCTGATGGAGTGTACCGTCAGAGCTGCGGTCGTGGACGAAGTGTAGAGCGTTCATTGTCGCGCAGAATGCCTCCGCTTATTCTCCTACTTGAAGAAGAACGGCGCTACCAAGACGAGGATGATCTGGTGTCCTCACCCGATAAACTTGAGGATATACAGCAGAGTGAATTGTTGAATAGTGATCCCTCACGCCACCCGTCAGAACAACATCTACCTCCTCCACCTCCTCCACCTGGTGGTAAAGGTATACCTCCTCCACCTCCTCCACCTGGTGGTAAAAGTATACCTCCACCTCCTCCTCCACCGGGTAGTGATAGTAAAGGTATTCCTCCACCTCCACCTCCTCCACCTGGTGGTAAAGGTCTACCTCCTCCACCTCCTCCACCTGGTGGTAAAGGTCTACCTCCTCCACCTCCTCCTCCACCGGGTAGTGATAGTAAAGGTATTCCTCCACCTCCACCTCCTCCACCTGGTGGTAAAGGTATACCTCCACCTCCTCCTCCACCAGGGGGTAAAGGTATACCTCCACCTCCTCCTCCACCAGGGGGTAAAGGTATACCTCCTCCACCTCCTCCACCTGGTGGTAAAGGTATACCTCCACCTCCACCACCGGGTAGTGATAGTAAAGGTATTCCTTCTCCTCCTCCTCCAGGTAATGCACCACCACCACCACCACCACCCATATCCTCTCAAGTACCAGCTCCACCAGTTCCAGCAGTTGTGAAGTCTGTTCCGGTGAAACCAGTATATACAGGGCCTAAGTTAAAAACGTTTTTCTGGAAGAAACTTCCTCGTGTAATGGGCATATGGAATCATGCTGATCCTTCCCTTATCAAGAAAATAGTTGATGAGAGGTTTTTACTCGCTATGTTTGAGATTCGTAAGAAAGTCTCGCCGGCTGCTACTGGTGGAGAAGTACAGGAGCCTAAGAGAGAGAGTGCGCGTAAAAGCAGTGCTTTTAGTATTCAACGTCGGCAAAACATTGCTATTTCTCTTAAGAAACTTAGAATACCAGTGAATGATTTGTGTTTGGCCTTGATAGAATGTGATGATACAGTGCTTACGTCCGAAACGTTAGAGTCACTATTAGGTGTCATTCCTACAACTGAGGAAGAATCAGTGCTTATGTCTGAACGAAATGTTCCTGATATAGCCTGGACCGATGTTGAAGAGTATATGTATAAGCTTTGTAGTACTGTAATTGATGTGCGTGAACGTGTTTCTCTTTGGCTTGCCTCTACAGAAACTGAAGAACTTATATCCTTTACAGAGGAGCGATTTGATATGATAGAGAAGGCTGTAGCAATAGTAACGAATAAGACCTCTATGTTTGCTTGTACCCTTCGAGCTGTGTTAGCTATCGGAAACTTTATGAATCGAGGTAGCGCTCACGCAGATGCTGTTGGATTCCGTCTTGAGAGTTTAAATCAAATGAACTTTGTTAAAGCAGTAGATGGTAAAACGAGTATGTTGGAGGTTCTAGTTGTTTCTTTACTAGACCGTGGAGTAGAACTTTTAGGATTTGTAGATGAAGTAAGGTTTTTAGAGGAGCTTTCTACTGTAAATGTACAAGAAGTTGGTCGGAATGTAGCTCAGTTAAATTTCACATTACAAAAGATGCGACGAGCCGTGGAAGAGTCAAAAGCACCAGAAAATCAAAGAAAAAAACGTATCATGACACTTCCAGATGGTGTAGTAGATGCATTCCCTGAAAAAATGGCTTCACATGTCTCAAAGTATCTTTCTCTAGTTTCAAAACTTGCTTTACGACATCAGAGACTAAAAGATGATGTTTCAGAAATGTTAGAGAGTTATGGAGAAGATCCTACTTTAGATGAAACGACGGTGTGGAGTTATATCACACAATTTCGTACAGATGTTGAAAGTTTTCTCAGGCGAGCGGAGGTGGAGGATTTGGATAAGAAGACTCTTATGGCATCCGTTGGGGTGCTTCCAGATATGATAGCTGAAGTAAAGAAGGAAGATGATATGCAGGATATAGATAAAACACTAAATTCTCATAATAGTACTGCAACCGCTACTGTTAAAAGCAGAAGCAATAGTAGAAGTAGAAGCAGTAGAAGAAGCAGAAGTATGAGTAATAGCAGCTGTGAGTGAAGCAGAGAAATTATCTTTTTTTTTATTGTTTTTTTTTTTTTCTTTCTTTCACTTGATGTGTTTTTCTTTCGTTTGCTTGCTTGTTTGCGTCTAAGAACTGGGTGTAATCATCCAGTACTGCATGCACCACAGAGAGTCGCTGTTTCTCTGTTTTTTTTTTTTTTTTTCGTGTTGCTGTTATTGTTATTGTTATTGTGTGTGTGTGTGTGCAGAAAGGGTATATTTTTAGCTTCTTTCTTCTATGAGTTTCTGCTGTGAGTTTCCAGGAGGGTTCTGCTACTAAATATTGTATTTGTCCTTCTTTTATTAATTAATTAAGAGATGCTACGATATCTTTTTTTCTCTTTTTGCATATTGAACTCTTTTTTTTTCTTGCGATTTTGAGCGTTTCCATTTTCTATTTTTCTTTTGCTGTCTGTGTTTCAGAGAATTGCGAAGCTGAAAGAAGGAAGGAAGGAAGAAATAAAAAAAAGAGAGTGAAATGTTTCGATAAACAAAAGAATTTTTTTTTCTTTTTTTTTTGGATTCAAGAGGTGTTCGATTTATCCTTCTGTTTTGTTTCCCTCTTCATTGTTCAATTTTTCTTCATAAACTAATTTAAATGATATATATATATATATGTTGTGTGTGTGTTTTTTTTTTTTTTGTTATTCCCTTTTCCATCTTCTTTTCTCTCATTTCTTCTTTTTTTTTCACTATATAGATAGTCGCTGTGTCAAGAAGTCATTAGAAGATCATTTTTTATTATCCTTTTCTTTATTGTTTTTTTTTTTTTTTGCATTATTTGCTGTGTAGACTACAGCACGGTGTGAATATGCGGAGACGTGATGATAGAAAGAGGGAGTCTGACCGTAACACAAAAACCGCTACGGAAGCGGAGGTTACAGTGATAGAGTTGGCCCAAGAAGAAGAAGTAAAGGAGAAAAAAGAAGAACACGATAGTCATTTACAAAGTACATTGAATAGAAATAGAAATACAGAAGAAGAAGAAGAGGAAGAAAAAGAAGAAATACTTCGGTTTGATCCACACTCGATGGAGCACCTTCAACTCACTCGTGGGCATACGATGGGGTGGCGAAGACAATTGCGAGGTGATTGGGACTTTCCACATAGAAGAGCCTCTCCACAGTCCAAAAGGAACAGGAGTAAAGGCAACTATGGCAATAATAATAATAATAATAATAATAATAATAATAATAATAAACATAATAATAGTAATAGTGGTAGTAGAAGTCCTCCAAAGGTTCCCTATTCCGCTCGTTATCAAAGGCAGATATCTTCACCTGTTAAGCCCCCTGTAGAAAAACCAGAAGAACAGTTGGAGGATTATCATTCTTTACAAGAACGCGGGTTTGCGACCCTGCATGAGGAACTTCAGTATCTTCGCATGACTTACGTTCATTCACAAAAGACACTTCGTCTTAAAGGTGAAGAAGTCACACGTTTACAGAAGGAATTAGAAGAGAAAACCAAAGAAATTGAGAGACTAAAAGCACTTCTTACGGTAGTTCGAAAGAAACGTTTCGTAGCGGGTGGGTCCAATACTGAGAATGAAGATAATATGAGTAGTCATAGTCATAGTAATAGTGGTGGTAGAACGGAAGTAACTCCTTCACTCGCCCTTTTTGCTGCTTCTGCTTCTGCTGCTGCTGGTGGTGGTATTAGTGGTGTTAGTAATTCTAATAACAATACGGCTGGACGTGGAGCACCAGCGAAGATGTTATTAGAATTACGGCAGAATATTGCATCTCGTGATACTGTTATTGATACGCTTCGAATGGAACTTGCATCTCTGCGAAAAGAAAAGAAGGAAATGGATAATCAAATACGCACAACAGCTGTAGCGTTAGAGGAAGCTAAAACAAGATGTGAAACCTTATCGGCTGATTTAACTAGTAGAGATGCAAAAATTGAGGAACTTAGTCGCCGATGTAGTACATACACGACCACTCCGACATCCTTAACTACTACGAATAATATGGAAAATAACCATAAGGATGAGAAGAGCAATAAAAGTAATGATGGTGATTCGGGATATCTACAGCAGCAGTTTGAAGAGTATCAACGACGCTATCGTGCCACTGATGAGGCTATTGGTAGTATTCAACAACAATTACAACGATTAGAACGGAATGCCCTCTCTCCATCTTCTCACAACAGCAGTTCAGATTCCCAACAACAACAACAACAACAACAACAGGAATACTTACGCCATGAGTTGATGCAATTACGACGTTGTCTTGAAAGGGAAAAAGAAACCACCGTAGAATCCGAGCGGCAGTGGCGTAGACGACGGGAAACAGATCTCCGCATAACAGAAGCGGAACTCGACACGGCCAGAGCAGAAACAGAAGCCTACAAACGTGAAGTGGCACGTATGCAGAAACAACTCACAACGGCGAGTTTTGCAGAAGCGCAATTGCAGGCAGCACGAAATGAAAATGATGCCCTGCAGCAACGTGTATTGGAGCTTCGAGAAGAAAACACCGCACAGGCATCTCGTGAAAGGGAATTACGAAATGATATGCGTATCACAAAGGATGCATATGAACGACGTGAAGAGGAAGTGGCATCCCTTCAACGTCGATTAAAATCTTCTAAAGATAGTGAATCTTCCCTGAGAGAGGAAATTGAAACACTAGAGGCTAAACTCGCACATTATGAAGAACGAGCACGAACGATAGAACGTACGGCTTTACCTTTATTAATAAAACAAGAGAAAGACAGTGCTGGTGGTGGTGGAATGGAACCTTCTGTGCATGCCCCACCTCCTTATGATCTTAACAGTTATGCCGCACTGATGAAGTTAAATGCGAATTTACAGGATCGTGTAAAGACACTGGAAATGGAATTACAGAAAGCAAAAGAAACTTTATCAAGAGAAAAAGAGAATGAAACGAGTGTGGTTACTGATCCTCTAATGATATCAAATGTGGAAAGATCATATAAGGATACTATGCAAACAGAAGAAGATGATAGAGAAGTTTTGCATCGTGTAGATAAACTTGCAATGGAAGTAGAAGCATTTAAGTCTGGATTGCAGCACACAGGGGTATCACTTCGCCTATTACAAGAGCAGTTTCTTGCCTCAATGGCAACAGGAGAAGAAAAGAAGAACCAGCAAGAGCAACAACAACAAGAAAAATCATCTAAAGTGGGAGAAATAGAGGCTGAGGATGGTGTTGGCGCTGAATCAAAATCTATTGTATCGCGAAAAAAACACAATGTTGAAATTATTCGCGATCAATTGCAGAATTTACAGCAACAACAACAACAACTGCAGGATAGTAATAATAATAATAAGACAAGGCGAATGCCGGAGGATGTACGTCAAAGCTCAGAGAGGAATAGTGAAATGGAGGCCCTACGAGAAGAAACACATCGTCTACGAAAGTTAGTTTCAGAGTATGAAGAGAATTTTACACGTATGCGGCGTGAGTTAGTGAGTCTCAATGCGGAAGTAATCACTCTACGGCAGCAGGAGAAACTTCTACGCGAGACAACACTGGTGGAGTTGCGTAGGAAGTGTGAGGAACAGGAACGCCTTATTACTATACTACGTGAGTCTACATCTATGATCCCTTCTTCCTCTTTATCTGGCTACACAAAGGGTATTAGTAGTGATGTTGAGGATGATTGTGATGATGAGTTTATTATAGAAGAGGCACTACGAGAGGAAACAGCACGCTTAGATGAAGAGATGAATGCACTTCGACGTGAGGTGCATGAAGCAAGACTGGAGCGGGATCATTGGAAGGCTCTCGCAACGGCTACAACTGAAAAAAGATCACAATGACACATAAAAAGAGAAAGAGAATGAGAGAGAAAGAAAGAAAAAGTATGAAATAGAGAGATCTATGAAAAAGAGGAGTAAAAATGATAATAGAGAAGAAAAAAAAAAAATGTTTTATATATATTTCCTTTTTGTTTTCATTTTTTGGTGTATGTGTAGATGATGTGTTCTTTTCCTCTTTTTTTTATTTATTTATATATATATATATGTACATTTATATCTTTGAAGTATCGACTGACCATAGAAGTAAATGTGACCATACATGTTTTTTTATACAGAAATGTATGCATGTATATATATATTTATATATATTGTAGATACAAGTATACCAAAAATGGTTTTTGTTATTTTTTTTCTTCTTATTTCTTTTGTTTATTTAAATATCTCTTTTTTTTCTTTTTGTTTTTGACTTTTTGCACTCGTATACTTACAAACAAAAAAAAAAGAGTATCCTCTTAGGGAGAAGAAGAGAGTTAGTGTACGTATATTTTATGTCTAATTCTTCTCCACCATTTCGAAGAGAAGTCCTTGATGTGGAAAGTGGAACTAAATCTTCAGACGAAACGAATGGTATCTCTGCTTTACTCTCTGCATACGCTGGCCGAGAATCAGAGTTGCTGCAGGAGCTAAAAGAACGCATAAACTGTAATAGAAAAGTAAAAGAAGGAGAACAAGAGTGGAATAGTTCTAATTTAGCAGATAAGGATGAGTTATTTAACTCTCAACAAACGGGTTTAGATGAAACTTCACAAAAGCCATTGATGATTGTGGATGATCAGTGCTCTTCTGAGGTAAATACACCACTTTTAGTTTCTGAAATGACACCAGCTTCCATTAAACGAGATGTTGAAAATAGTATAGGCTTTGCCTCTCCACTACATCGTCTACGATGGGAAGAAGCATGGTTTGGTACTCTTCCTCTTTCAAGTTTTACACGAAATTGGGGAGATGATGTCTTACATTGTGGAATGGGATATAAATTAACACGTGTAGTTGGATTTGTTCAGCGATGGGCAAAGCGTTATTTTGTATTAGCCTGGTCTCTTCTATATGTCTTTGATGGGAATAAGAGAATGGATAGATGTCGTGGGGCTGTTTACATGTATCGTGCGGATGTACAGAAGACAGAAGTGATGGGCTGCCCCGCTATTGTGATTACACCAGCCACACAGAAGAGACCCTCTGAGCTTGGAAAGGAGAAGTTTGTGAGTTTTATCATGACCGTAGATGCAGACAAGATGTTGGATGTTTGGTTTACTGCACTACGTAAGATTAGTCTTGTGGGAGTATTATCAGATTCTATTACTATTGCTGCTGCTGCTGCTGGTGGTAATGTTTCTTCTCCAGTCTCACTTTCTGAACAAGAGCCACAACCGCTATTATCGTTAAATAGTGTAAATACAGTTTTAGTAAATCCGCATAACCAGGAAAGTGTAACTGGTGTAGATGTACAAATACCCAACGTGGGACCTATTACTAAAGAGAATAATGAACAATTTGAGCAAGGTGAGGGAATTCAGTTGTCATCTTCTTCTTGGCAGCAACCACAACCACAACAACAACAACAACAGCAGCAGCAGCAGGAGGAGGAGGAAGAGGTAAAGGAAGAGGTAAACTCTAAGAATGAATTTACTTTAGAAAAAGATAAACAAACTATTATCGAAGATTATCGTCAACACCTTCAATATATAACAGTAAGTGCCTCTGATGTGAAGGAACGTTTAACGCGTGTTGCGCAAAAAAAGGAAAAAAAGGAATTGGGTGAATTACTACTGAAATTCATTATATCACATGTGGATGATGCTGCAGGACTATGGTCTCTTATGAATCAAGTAGAAGATCTAAACGATAGACAATCTCAAAACAACAGTGTCTTAGCATCAACATCCCAATCTTCTTCTTCTACTTCTTCTTCTGATATTTCACGGTTAGTGCGGGAACAACAATTAATTTTATCCAACGCACCAAAGAAGTCTCTCTCAGTGGAATGCAGAGCCAAACACAATACCCCTTTGGGCATCACTACACCCACACCTAGTAAGAAGCAGCATGTTTTTTCGCCAAAAGAAGAAGAAGAAGAAAGTAAACAAGATACTATGGAAAAACGTTATGATAATAATGATTCTGTGGGAAATATTTCTGTGTTTGCTACTACTGCAGGTGTTGAGGGTGGTGAAGTTACTATGGAAGACAACTTGGTAAGAGAACGACGAATGCGACGATTACGTGAACGACAGCAAGATATTGAAAGTATCCTGAGTGAATTGCCGAGTTTATAAAAACACATATTTTATATCGAAGTTCTCTGATATTGGCAAATTAGAGAATACATAAGAAACAATAACGAAAGAAGTTGAGGAGCGGTGTTCGTTAAACGAGGGAAGGAAAAAAAAAAAGAGAGAACACACAGTGTTTGCTTTACGTTTTTCTATTTATGCTGTTATTTTTTTTTTTACTTGGCTCTCTATCGCTCTTATTATTTTTTCTTTTTGACAGTCTATAAATGTATGTTTTTGAAGGCCCATTCAACCCACTCCACAATACTTTGATGGGATTGCGTGTTAAAAGGGTCTCTCAGCACACTTCCATGTTTTCAGTTCTTTTATTTATTTTAGTGAAAATCTTGGGTAAATATCTGAGGATGCATTTGTGAATGTGGGGAGGAGAGGAAAATGTTGGTCTGTGTGTCCTTCTTAAGTGTAGTGGGTGAAATGGAAAGGATGTTTTGATTTCCTGTCCTCATACTGTTCTCTTGCGTCTTTTTTTTTTTCTCTCGTCTGGCCCTGTGAAGAGAAGTACTCTGCAAGTGAAGGGGGAAAAAAAAGTATGGCGTTGTTTACCTCCCGGCGCAACATTTTGCTCACGGTGTGTTCTATTTTTCTCTTCGTTGGCGCTGCGGTGGCGTTAACCTATGGCATAAAGTTTTTAGCTGACAGTTCTGTAGAAGTGGATATCGCAAGAAGAAACTCGTTTAGAATGTTGGGGATCTTTCTTGTGGTCATTGGAGTGGTGGCACTTGTTGCTATTTTACTCATTCTATGGGTGTGTTGCTGCTATGACCGGAGGGCGCCTTTTTGGCTCTTTGTCTTTGGACTCGTAATGACAGACGTAGTCCTCATCGCTGGCATTGCGGTAATGCTTATGTTTGGTATTACGGCTGTTATTAAACCTGAGGGCAAAACTTTATCTGGTGCTGTGCTTATTTCCTTTTCTTTCCTTTTTCTTGCTGCCGTCATTGCTATACCCATTTTGTTCTCCTGCCGCCGAAAGCGAGAAAGTCAAGAGTTAAAAGCAGAAGCAGAAGCAGAAGAAAGAAATTTAATGGCGGTACGAACCGTCACAGAGGATGCAAAACCGTTAGTCCCTTCTAATGATGGCAAGACCTTAGTGTGAGGAATGAAATCTTTAAAAAATAGTATTTTCCTTTAGTTTGTGGTCTCTTTTTTTTTTTTTTTTTTTTTTTTTTTTTTTTTT